ATTATCTTACATATTATATTATATTATATCATATATTATATTATATTATATATGTATAAAATGGAAATACTCCAGCATAGTATAAGTACTTTAAATTAAGTACAGTAACTGAATGTACTCATTTACTTTCCACGACTCAATCATTTGTTTGTTTATTTATATTTTTGTATTAATCTATGGAGTGCCCTCCAAAGAGGGAACTATATAAAATACATCATTCATTATGGTACATTATAAATGTCGGGGGAGGTGTTTACGTCATACACAGTAGATACAATGTACTGCTATTAATAAGGTAAGGGAAGAAAAGGGGTTTCCCCGGAGGATTTGGGGTATTTTCAGTTTGTTTTGGAAACTGTAGATAGCTGATTCTTGCAGTCCCAGCAAAACCCACATTACCCATGAGGCTGTTCTTCTCTAATCATGGAAAACCACATCCTCTCAGGTGTAACTGGACCTCACAAAACATAGTATTTCTCACCTTACGTACATAATGTGTTTCACCTGGTAAAAAAGGAGATGCTCCCAACAGAAAATCACATTAAATATAATGAGCGTCGAGTTGTAGCTGAGAAACGGCTCCTTCCTCTAATTAGCTTTGTCTGGGAGCTATCTGCAATATGTACACTTCTCCCTCAGGGAATCATTACGCCACGCCTCTGTGTGTGTGTGTGTGTGTGTGTGTGTGTGTGTGCGTGTGAGTGAGTGTGTGTGTGTGTGTGTGTGTGTGTGTGTGTGTGTGTGTGTGTCTGTGTGTGTGTGTGTGTGTGTGTGTGTGTGTGTGTGTGTGTGTGTGTGTGTGTGTGTGTGTGTGTGTGTGTGTGTGTGTGTGTGTGTGTGTGTGTGTGTGTGTGTGTGTGTGTGTGTGTGTGTGTGTGTGTGTGATGAGTGTCTGAGCTGCAGGCTGTTGTGATTCTGACTTGGATGCTAATACAATTATCACCATGGAAACAATAAATAAACGGTTGTTACCTGGAGTACAAAACAAAAAATAATAAAGACATGAATATGATAACATAACAATCAACAAAGTAAAGGAGGAAAATAAATGTCTATCCGTCTCATAAATTATATAACCTTATTTGATGTTACATAAAATTATATGATATTATATTATACTGTATATGTTATTATTATATTATATGATAATATTTACATATATATATATATATATATATATATATACATATAACATTATATATTAGATTATTTTATATCAATACATTTTATATTACCTTATATTATATTTGATTACATTATTTAATAGTATATTACATTATATATTACATTATATTGTTTATATTATACTGTTTATTTTATTATTATAAGATAATATTTTATATTACATTAGGTTATATATTATATTATTTAATATTATATTACATTATATTATATTATACTTGATTAAATTATTTGATATTAGATTATTTTATATTATTGTCCGTCTGTCCCTGCAGCTAATCTGGCATACTAGAACACCAGTCAGTTTATTTTTTGCTCATTACTTGAATGTTCAATATCCTCTTGTAGTTGCATTTATTTACAACAAAGCATTTCCGACAGGTACGGGAACCAACGCCTGCTACATGGAGGAGATGAAGAATGTGAAGCGAGTGGAGGGCGAGGCCGGGCGGATGTGCATCAACACGGAGTGGGGGGGCTTCGGGGACGACGGCTCGCTGAAGGACATCCAGACCGAGTTCGACGTGAAGGTGGACAAGATGTCTATCAACCCCGGGGTCCACACGTACGTACAGCGGTCATGTGGGAAATTCAGAAACCATTTCAATAATACATCAACCATTATTTTTCAATAATAGATGCCAAATATTGTCTGCTTCCATCTTCACACGAGAAAATGTGCTGCTTTTCTCTAAATTTGAAACATCTTTCAATCAAAACTCACCTCTTCAGAACTGCTTTTACTTTGTAATTATTGGTGAGTTTTATATATTTAAAGTTTTAAGGTTGTTATTTTATTAATTTTAGCATGTAAAGTTTCTTCGAGTACCATGAAAAGAGCTCTATAAATAACATTTATTATAATTTTTATTAATATTAAAGTCTCCGATAGACTAAATAATTAATCAATCAATCAAGAGAATTTATAAAGATTATTAATTATTAATTATAAACATTGTTGCACACAGATGATTGATTGGTTTCATGTGTGTACAAACACCTAGATACACATTTTAGTTCCGTTTTTCTGTATATATTGACTATTGGTATCACTCCATATTTCATGTTTCCACACATCCACAATTGGGGACCTTTAACCATAAGTATGGTTTAAAAATGTTTAGTTTTTTTAAAGAAATGGGAGCAAAATGCACACATTTGTTTTGTTGTTCATCCAAAACAAACAGTTAAAAACACAGATTCTTTAGGATTCTCCCCTATTTTCGGATTACTGGCAGATATTTCTGACCCCTTTCTGTGCCTGTTTCGTCCTGTAGCTTTGAGAAGATGATCAGCGGCATGTATCTGGGAGAAATCGTGCGGCTGCTGCTGGTCCGGCTGACGGAGGAGAAGCTGCTGTTTAACGGACAAACATCGGAGGTGCTGCTGACCCCGGAAACATTCGAGACCAAGTTCATCTCTGAGATTGAGGAGTGAGTGTCCCATTCAACTTTCAATCATTTTACTGGTCTTTTATTTTTATACTGCGGTCTGGAGTCGCAAACCTTTGGCACTGGTACTTAAAACATTTCCATGGAAATGTTTTAAGTATTTATTAAGTCCTCTTTTAAAGAAAATGTAACTTTTTCTATTTGTATTGGTCTTAATAATATTGTTAAACCCAGATCTCTTTACCTATTTGAAAAAAAACAGTTCTTATTTTAAGACGAGCTATTATAGACATTATACTGTATAGCAGAGCCAAAGTAATTTTAATCTGCTGGGCAACTTAATCTGTTATAATGTATCAACATATACACACAACACACGTTTTTATTCTGTGTTTTAATTTGTCATTTTAATTGTATTTATGAATGATTATTATCTTATCCTGCAAGGTAACTAAGCATGATAAATACATGTAATGCAGTACAAAAGTGCAGGTTTTCTTGACCTACTTTACAAAAGAACCATGTTATTCAAAACAGGCTATTATAGACATTTTCCATACATTTTTGGACATTTTACACTATAAACAGCATCTTGAACCCTAACATCTGTGTGTCTTCACTTCCTGTCGGTGTCCGCGCTTCAGGAAGGAACACGGTCTGGAAAACACGCAGAAGATTTTGACTAAACTGGGATTGAAATGGGATTTGGTGGACTCCCGCGTGGTGCGTCTGGTCTGTGACGCCATCTCCTCGCGCTCCGCCCGTCTCTGCGCCGCTGCCCTGGCAACCCTTGCCAACCGTATCCGGGGGAACCGCAGGCTTGACCATCTGAAGACCACGGTGGGGGTTGATGGGACAGTCTACAGGAAACACCCCAAGTAGGAAGCACATTGAGAAAAATATACAGACACCATGACAATTCAATTTGTAAATGTTTACAATACATCACATTACATTACATATCATTTAGCTGACACTTTTGTCCAAAGCGACTTACAATAAGTGCAAATGAATTAGTTGAATTAGTGCTTTGTTGCTTGTATTTTTTTTCAATACAAGTTAGCAAATATTACAAAACAGTTAATGTAGAAATATCTGTTTTTCTTTTCTTCTCTGAATAGCAAAGTAACAGAATTAAATAGACAATACAAATATTTTAAAAGTTCAAATGAAAACAGTTGTAGTCTAAGCTTTACTTTAACACCTCTATTTTTAATTCGTTATAATAAACTTAACTCATACAGCACTTTTCGAAAGAACGTTTTTATGGTTTAACATTCCGAACATACAAACAGTTCACAAATATTAAAAGACACATAATACCTTGTTTATTACACATTAAAATGTTCTTATAAGCTGATACAAGGACATTTTTCATTGTTAATTACATTTCAGCATCTTCAACAGACCTATGCAGACATATTTTTTGTCATCATATCTTTGATGTATATATGTAAATATGAATATATTGTTGTGTATTAACTGTTTTTTATAGTATCCAATACGGATTCTTTATAGGACTTACCGGTGTTGAAAACGTAATCAATTAACACTTAAAATACATTTTATCTGCACCCATCTACATTTTATAGTGTTGTTAACCATTTTTTGCAGGTATTGCGAGTTTGAGAATCATAAACCATGAAGATGTTTAACCATGGATATGTTATTAATTCTAAAGTAACATGAGATACAACAGTTTGTGTTGTAAGTGGATTTGTTTTGACTAAATATGAGACATTTTTGATCAATTTTAAGAGTTATCTCTGCTAAAAGGGCCATCCATCTTAAAATGATCATGTTAATCTTCACTCTAAAACAAGGATTGTTGAAAATGTAAGAATGTAAGACGTGTAAAGTAAAGCCGGAACATTTACACAGTTATCAATATTAAGGTTAAAATAAATATTTGTTTTGTATTTTGGGTTTCTAGAGAAGAGGACGTCTTGATTGTTTTCTCTACATTTTGTGGAGATTAAATGATATGTCTGTCTGTGTGTGGTGTGTGTGTGTGTGTGTGTGTGTGTGTGTGTGTGTGTGTGTGTGTGTGTGTGTGGTGTGTGTGTGGTGTGTGTGTGTGTGTGTGTGTGGTGTGTGTGTGTGTGTGTGTGTGTGTGTGTGTGTGTGTGTGTGTGTGTGTGTGTGTGTGTGTGTGTGTGTGTGTGTGTGTGTGTGTGTGTGTGTGTGCGTGCGTGCGTGTGAACAGGCAAGAGGTGTTGACCCATAACACACTTCCTGTCATTGTGATAAGGAACTGCATGTTGAGAAAATAACACGTATGAAACTCTCTCACACTTTAAACGTCTCGTCACTTCTCGTTCCTGCAGTTTTATTTCCCTTTATTTGATTAACAACAAGATCTCTTCAAAAGTTTCACAGATTTAAAGGTTTTATGTCATAAGCACAGAAGATAGGGTGTAGTTTATTTTAAAAGTCCCAGGCTCCTCCAACAATAAAACAACAGTAGTGGAAAAAATGATCAGATCAGATATATAAATATTTTAAAATGTTTGGAAGCAAAAGCAACACATCTTCACATTTAAAAAACTAGAACTGTGAAATATTTTTGAATATCTTCTTAATTAATATTCCTTTTCATGGTTTTAGTTACTTAAATATAATGTTTGGATGGTTTCATTTATATACCAAATAATCATATTTTAAAAGTTTAAAAGTTTAAAAATGTTGTGTGTTAAAAGTACCAAATTGCCTTCCAAAATGTAATTGATTAGTCATATGAAGTAGTATAAAATGAAAATACTTAAGTGCTTAAGATGTTTACTTAAGTACATTACTCCAGTAAATGTACTGTTACTTTCCACCACTGCAAAACACACAGTATACTTAAGACATAAAAACGTATCAAAATAGTACAAGAAGAAATAGAAAAACAAATAGTGACACGACAAGGGGCAGGTAAAGGCAGAAATAAGTAAATCATGTTAAATAGATTTTTCTTTTCAAACATCCTGTTATAGTATATATAATAGAGTTGAGCAAATACTGCATATTTGTTCCAAGTTTAAAGGCTTTATTGTAATATGCAAAGCTACAGTGTGGTTATGGCTCCTCCAACAATACAACATAAATATATATATATATATATATAGGACATAAAACAATTATCATTATCTTACTATTACCATTATGAGTAAAATAGAATAAAAAACTCCATGCTGTATCCTCATGTATCTAATGCTTATAATAATACATACATATGTGGAATGTAACCAAGATATATATTCTGCTTGAATAATTTTTTCTAATTTGCTGCTGTAGTTTCAGCGATGAGCTCCAGTCCACGGTGCGCCGCCTCGCCCCCCAGTGTGACATCTCCTACCTGGTGTCAGAGGACGGCAGTGGGAAGGGCTCTGCCATGGTGACAGCGGTGGCTCAACGGCTGGCTCTCCAGTCCCGCCTGTTGGAGGACAGTGACGGAGACGATGAGGAAGAGGAGGAGGATAATTAAAGAGAACTCAGGATGCACAACAACACTGTATTAGTGTTGGAAGCCTGCAGTGTTGTCATGCAGCTAAGTTTGTTATTAATGTTATAAGAACGTTTTTGTCTTCCACAACACAAGCACTCTCTTTTGCACTCTCAATGTTGCAATGCGTGTTAAACTGCGTGTTAAATTATTACAGTTATCCTTAAACAAATCCAGTGCAAACAAATACAGATAAGAAAGTCAGACAGAAGAATTACTTGAACCTGTTTAGCAAGCATATGTTTTAGTATTTTTTCAATATTTCTGTTTGAATGTTCAAAATGTTGCTGCTGTTTTTGTTACAAATGGGAAATAAAGGGACACTTTTCACAAGGTGGTACGAGTTATTTCTGTAGTCAGATTCCTTACATTCTGAGCCGGGGAAACAACAGAGGGGCCGATGTTGATTGTTAGGTCAAGAGTGGGACAATCTTTTCCAGGAAGAAAAAGCAGTTCAGTCTTGTCAAGGTTGAGCTTGAGGTGGCGAGCAGACATCCACTGAGAGATGTCCGCTAGACAAGCAGAGATGTGTGCGACAACCTGGGTTTCAGAGCGGGGAAAATACTAAATTAATTGGGTGTCGTCAGCGTAGCAATGGTATGAAAAACCATGCGGGCTAATGACAGATCCGAGCGAGTTTGTGTACAGAGAGAATAGGAGGGGACCGAGAACAGAGCCCTGACGGACCCCTGTAGATAATTGACAAGAGTCGGACTCGGACCCTCTCCAAGTTACCCTGTAGGTGCGGTCTTTCAGGTAGGAGGTGAGTACATAAAGTACAATGAAGCCACAAGGAAGAAACCAGCAAATTTCCTATTTATTGGGTGGTGTATTTCATTACTAAATGTAAGACCATGTAATTTAATTGTTTGAATATTCCTTATACCAAGACTATGCTGAATACAACGTTATTGTTCCATGGATTTATATATTTCTGCATGAATTTTGTATCAATTTAATGAAGAACTTTGATTTAAAAAATATTTTGTATTTATATTGTATTAATACAATCAAGTGTAATTCGACAAAAAGAGTCTAAATGCACGCAAAGAAAACTGAATGACCAGGTTTGTGTTATAAGATCCTTTACATAGTAACTCGCTGTGTTTTGGCTGCTGCCTCCTAGTGACTGTTATGAGAACTGCATCTGAGTTCACTTTCAAATCATTTTCAATATTCAGTCTTGTGGTTGTAGTTTAGTAAAAAAAGACATGCAATCATCATCATTTAACCAACCCAAGGTCCACAATATGGTGACGTTCACAGGGAGAATGAACCAGAAATATACAAAATATGCAGTTTTCTGTTGGGCATTTTGTGTTGTGATTCAGAACAGCAGTCTTTTTTTAGGTGGCATCAGATCTCTTTCCACAACACTCACCTCTCAATGTCTGCAAAGTAAAGTACATGTACTTCAAAATTGAACTTGATTAAAAGTACTTAGTTTCTTCCCTACACTGTAAACATGTGACTTAACACATATAAATAGACGAATCCCACATGAAACTGACATATTTAATACCAAGAGCAAAGATATTTAATTAATGAGGCTAAACCCTTAAATGGGCACACACATACATATTTTGGAAAATATATTGATTGCTATTTTCTACATTACACCCATTACACCGATATTACACCCACATTACACTATAATTACACTGTTATTATGCTCTTAATAATACAACACATTAATACACCCCTATTACACATTTATACACCCTCATTACACATTAACACACCCCTATTACACTCATGTCACACCATGATTACACCTGTATTTCACCCATATTATACCCATCTTACAACCATGTTACACTGTTATTTCACATATATTACACTATTATTATTAGACCCATATTGCACCCATTTTACACATGGCCACAGCCCAAAAGACTCTATCCCCAAGGATACATAAACCAGTTAAGGGTTAAAATAATATATATATCACTAATATGTAATACAATCTGTCCAAGCAAGTCCATTTGTATTAGTGTAAACCAAAAATGGCAGCGTTATTTTTATCAGACGTTGAGTGTTTATAATATGGAAGGTGTCAGTAAGCCTCTCTGCAGAGATCCTCACTGCAGCTCTCTGAGATGCAGAGGACAGAGAGGAGCTGCAGCCTCCTCCTGCAGGGGGGGGGGGGGTCCAGCTGCTCGCTGCACACTGCAGTAAACTCACAGCTGTGGTATACTATACATGCATAGCATATATGTATATTTATGAATGCATGCAAAACGAGTAATGCAGTGTTTAAGAGAGGACGTTATAACGATGGGTCGACATGATGATTGTGATCTATAATACAAATGTTTACTGCCAATTTGTAATTTCATGCATGGTGTAAAATAAATACAGATATTCAAATCAAATCAAATCAAATGAAGTTTTATTTATGTAGCACATTTATAAACGATTTTTGGTCGAGCCAAAGTGCTGTACATATAATAAAAATAGCCTACAGTAGAGACACTTTACAGCAAATACAACAGCACAGAAGCACTGCACCTACATTCAAGATATTTGTAATTTATCTGAGAATTTTATTTTATGCAACATGTTTTGGTGCTTGTTCTGACCCAAAAATGTAAATAAAAGGGACCTTAAACAGAAAAAAACATTGTTCCCTGTTCTATGTTCATTCCTTTTTTGCAAAAACAAATATTGCACAGTTAAACACTCATAAATGTAAAAATATCAGATATTTAATAAGAAGAGTCATTCATTACATTACATTACATTACATTGCATTTAGCTGACGCTTTTATCCAAAGCGACTTACAATAAGTACATTCGACCAGACCCGGCGGCAGACATACGTCTCTGGGCGGGCATTTGATTTACCAGGGCGGGCCCACCCCGAAACTTACGTTTCCCGGGAAATCTCGAGATTGTCAAGGGGGGGGGGGGTTTAGGTTGCCATAAGGCTGTTGACGGTCTTATTATAGGCTACATCCATTGGTTGTTTTTGTGGCACATTTGTAACGCTGTGCCAACTTGGGCAAGCACACAGGGTGGAGAGGTGGAGTAAGGTTGAGCGATGGAGAGAAAGGGAGAGAGGGAGAGAGGGAGAGATTGAGCGAGGCAGAGAGCGTGTGCAGCGGTCTGCTTGCGCACAGATCAGGAGTTTGTGAGAGAGCCGGCTTGAGAGTCCATTTCTCTTCAAAATATAATTGATCGCCAGCCTCCCTTGTCCCTGGCTGGCTTGCTAACTCGTTGGTAATGTAACTGATGTCTTCTAATGTGCCTGCATCTGGCGCTGAGTTGCCATATTCCTTTCAAGAACCACTTCCTGATATCCATTGTTGCAGATACATATAAATGATAATAGCCAAAGTAACCTAGCAAGAGTAAACTGACAGGCTGCTGTGCCGCATCTCACTCAAAAACCCACACAACTCAACCCAGCGAAAAACCAGTCTCGCGCGCAGCCTTTCATTCAGAATTTAATTCAGAATTTCATAGCAAAATAAAAAAAATGATATTAAACTAATCTTTCAACATAGTTTAAAACAAAAATAAATATTAGGACAAAGCCCTACAAATAACAACAATAAACATAATCAGTGGCGGCTCCAGAGTGTTTTTGTTGGGTAATCTCTGGTAGGGTTAACCCATACAGCGGTGGGGCTCAAGTCAGTATTTGCAATGTAATTACATACATGCTCCCCTTGACAGTGAAACGCCACGCGTGAGGTTTAGATTATTTCCCTGTCTCAATCCAAATTGAACTGTATGAAATAAAAAGGCACAATTGTCTTGTAGTAAATAAAAAGGGCGACCTGGAGCCAATCCTGCAATTTCCCCACAGGTGAAAGAGTTGACATGCAGGAGATTTTTTGAAATACTAACATAAAATACACATTCTGGTACTCTCTTGAGAAGAAAAATAAATACATCTATTACTACGCGACATATTTAAAAAAATGAATGCCATTTTAGTTTATTGTTACTTTGTTCTGAAAGCTGAACCTGCTGCTCCTCAGAGAGAGAAGAGGGAAGAGGCTGTGAATGACTTTACATTGTGGATAAGGGTGGATATCCCCCATTGTTCTGTGTGTCAAAATGAAAGACAGCCCACACACCTATCAATCATCAAACCGTGGGGTCTCATTTCATTATGTGTTGATTTATATCAACACGTAATGTTGTATCGATGTATAGAGATGTACTACAGCAAAAGTATTCTCCGTCGGGACTTCCTGCAACAACACCACGTCGTTATCGTGATTCTGATTGGCCAGAAGACATTATCAAAGATGTTCTATTGAGAAGATGATCACTACGTGACAAAAGTTTTCAAACCGTTCCTAGTCTTCGGTATTTACTGCTGTCTGTGCAATTTACTCCGCGCGAGTTGGCGGGCTTTATTTAGCTTACTTTAAAATCATTTTTCATGGTGGGGCTAAGCCATTTCTTGGTATGGCTGTAGCGCCGCCACTGAACATAATAATGAAACAGTTAAAATGTTGTATTCAGCCCTGATTAAAACAGCGGGCCCAAATCCTGGATGGGCGGGCCCGGCCCCATGGGGCCCGCCCATGACGCCGGGTCTGCATTCGACCAGGAAGACACAACCTTGAAGAAAACAGAATCATATAAGTATATCAGGTTTCATAGAGCCAAACATTTCAAGTGCTACTCAACTGGCTTTAGGTAATCCAGTCCTTTATTAGTATAAAAGTGCTTCGTTAATCGTTCTAACGCTCGAAGTGGAGTCGAAAGAGATGAGTTTTCAGTTTGCGCCGGAAGATGTGCAAGCTATCTGCCGTCCTGATGTCAATGGGGAGCTCATTCCACCATCTTGGAGCCAGGATAGCAAACCCACGTGTTTTCGCCGATGGGAACTTGGGTCCCCCTCGCAGCGAGGGCGCAACGAGTCGTTTGGCTGATGCAGAGCGTAGTGCACGCGCTGGGGTGTACGGTTTAACCATGTCCTGGATGTAGGAAGGGCCAGATCCATTCGCAGCACGGTAAGCAAGTACCAGTGTCTTGAAGTGGATTCTAGCAGTTACCGGAAGCCAGTGAAGGGAGCGGAGGAGCGGAGTGGTGTGGGAGAATTTAGGAAGGTTGAAAACCAGACGAGCCGCTGCATTCTGGATGAGCTGCAGAGGTCGGATGGCACATGCAGGTAGACCAGCCAGGAGGGAGTTGCAGTAGTCTAGGCGTGAGATGACGAGAGCCTGGACCAGAACCTGAGTCGCTTTCTGAGTCAGCTGGGGACGTATCTTCCTGATGTTGTAAAGCGTGTATCTGCAGCAGCGGGTTGTAGCAGCGATGTTTGCAGTGAAGGACAGGTTGTTATCTAGGGTCACACCCAGATTCCTTGCAGTCTGAGTCGGGGAAACAACTGAGGTGCCGATGTTGATTGTCAGGTCAAGAGTTGGACAATCTTTTCCCGGGAGGAAGAGCAGCTCAGTCTTGTCAAGGTTGAGCTTGAGGTGGTGAGCAGACATCCACTGAGAGATGTCAGCTAGACAAGCAGAGATGCGTGCGACGACCTGGGTCTCTGAGCGGGGAAAGGACAGAATTAATTGGGTGTCGTCAGCGTAGCAGTGGTAAGAAAAACCATGCGGGCTAATGACTGATCCGAGCGAGTTTGTGTACAAGGAGAAGAGGAGGGGACCAAGAACAGAGCCCTGAGGGACCCCCGTAGTTAATTGACAAGGGTCGGACTCAGACCCTCTCCAAGTCACCCTGTCATTCAAACCTTCTAAAAAATTCAGACTGATTTTAGAGCAAATCATATAATGATCTTATATAATATGATGCATTTACAGTCTGTACAACCATCATGGCCCCTGGTAGACCACCACACAACAAAGACTATAACACCTCTATTGTGCAATATTAATCATGTCCAATGTATGCATATTTACTGCTTTAATATTATTATTTCTACTGGCTGCTATCTCTTGGTTGACATTCAACTGTAATACATCTGTAAATAACTGTAATATATACTTCCACTTTTACTATCACCTGGCTGCTATCACACTACTTTATACATGGTACATTTACTTATTTAAAATATTGTTACTGGTGCTATTTGTTGTCCACCTGGATGTATATTGTTGTAGATTCTAATTTGTGTAATTGCTATTTTTGTCTTTAATATTTTATGAATTCCTCTAAATTAATATTTTGCTTCTTTTTGGCTTTTTGCTTTTGCTGTAACCAGGTTAATTCCCCCCTTGTGGGACGAATAAAGGTACAGGTCTCAACGCTAACTTTTAAAAGTGGTTGCCAGGCTGGCAACCAGGCATCAGCTTTTAGTTGCCAAAACTGAAAATACGGTTGGCATTTTTAGTCACCTTATATTTTAAATAATTAAGATACTATACAGTTATACATCAACTTAATAATGAACATGTGACACAAAAGAATGTTCAAATGCTTTACAATAAGTAATTAACACAATTAATTGAAACTTAAGTGGTAGTAAACTTGTCCACCCTCAATTGCTGGTATACAAAACACCAGTAGTGCAGCTGTTGTCATGTTTTTCAGATCCCCCAAAAATGAATTGAGCAAGTCACTAGTTTCTTGGTCATCCGTTGTCTCCCTTTCAAATTTGCGTTTTCTTGACCTTTGTGCTAGATCCATTGGCCCTTCAGCATTGAAGTATTGGATTGGCCAGACTAATACATTTCTAATGTTAAATAAATTAAAACCATTCAGAATTAGATATGAATTATTAATGCTGTAAATTACCTTTAATATGTCTAACTATATTTAAAATGTGTTACCTTTTTATAGAAGTGATTATAAATGTATGCCAATATTTTCTTATGGTAAAGTTTCGTTTTGCACTTTTATTTTGGTAGTAATAAGATCGGGACTCTTATTTTGAAGGAACTTTTAGCGGAAGTAAATGGACAACATTCCTCTTTGCTTTTCGTTCGGGTTTTTTTACCCTATGGGTTTACCCCTGTCACCATAGATATATATAAACACTAGATGACTCACCCGCGCTGCTGGCCAATGGAGACCGACGTTGCCACTTGGCCGCCATCTTGCTACAGGCAGTTCTCTCATTCATAACATTATGGTTTACTATTTAAATAACCATAGCTTGCTCAATTTTCAAACGGTTTGGTTTTTTATAAACATCAAAGATGTAGTTATGATACTGCATACTTATAATCATGGACTTTCATATGAAAATAACATTAATCAGATAAAGCAATAGCTATACACACACACACAAGGTATTTATATTAAATATTTGCCGGTGTATATATATTTCCATTTATTTTATTATATTGTTAATATTTAAAATAAATTATAAAATTAAAATACATTTATATTTTATATATAAACATCGGTCTCATGTTACCACTCTGTAAGCCAAGAGTTGTTAATTTAGCAATGCCTTAGCTTGAAGAACAGGGACACAACTAATGACAATAGCATATGTTGGTATATTATTTAGATATTCACACCTTTATCAGAAGAACCAAACCAACATAAAATGTGCTCACAGACAGGCCAGTGCTGTCTAATTTATCACAATTATTTTTGACATGAGATCTTCCTATCATCCTAGTTTTGTATTTAGTTTCTAGATTTGTAAACAAATCCAGAACCTTTGAAATATGTTATTGAAAAAAGACCAAGAATAATATAAACTGTACCATGTGTCCTTTTGTGTCCTTCTGTAGTCCATTTGTGGTTTGTCTTGTCCCACCCCGGCTGATATATCACAAAATCCACTGTTTAAATTTTTCCCTATATTGCCCCTATGCCCCTGTAAGGTGTCCTTGGGTGTTATGAAAGGCGGCCCCCAAAATAAATGTATTATTATTATTAAGAAGAACAACTTGGTGTGGTGTGGAGGGGATGTAGGAAGCAGGAGCAGGTGGGGAGAGATGGGGCTTCAAGGTTCAAGGTTATTTGTTTTAAATGTGTTTTGGAGATAAGGACCAGCTGCACACAATAAAATACAGTATAACACAAAACCAAAAAGACACACGGTGGCACATGGCACACCAACAATCAATCATCGTCCAGCCTCAGCTTTGGTATTCTTTCACAACCATGTTATGGGTTTATTAGACTGAGCAAACATAAACATATGTGGGGAACATAGTGCTGCGTCTCATGGAACCTGAAGATGTCCCTTCTTAGGGCGAGTTCCCACTGCCTCCTCCTCTCTTCGGTTTTGGGAAACCTTAAAAACATGAGAAAGGTAGCCAGATATATAAATTATTGTCAACATTTTCCTCCCTTCTTTCCTTTAACATTAAGGGTAAGGACAAAAATACACACCGAAATTATCATATTTTTGGTATGTATGCATGTATGTATAGCCTACTTTAAGAATAAGACAACCACACTAAGAGTAATAAAAAAGGTGTCCAAAAGAAACATTCAATAATTGTGTAAAGAAATGGTAACAACATATTCTAAAGAGGCTGGGTCAACAACAATCTTGCAATACTATTATCTCACATAGCCCCACTGATCCTGTGTAGCAGGACTTGTAATGTACATACATCCACTAAGTAATTAACGATTATCCTAATTTTAGTCATAATATTGTCATATCTTACACGTGAAAGGTGATCCCACGGGTTCTTGTTTGCAGACTGCGGTGATTAGAGCATCCGTAGGCTGCACAAAAGTCCGGCATAGTCAGGTACTTCTGTAAACACAAAGCCAGCAAATTCCTGTATCATAATGCAAGATGTTTTTAACAAGCCAAACCACTTGGAAGAAATCATGTGTAACTTAAGTTATGTTGAAAAGAAAGAGCAGTTCTGCCTCTCCCACTGGTGTAAAGTTGCTGGGTCAACTTTGTAATACTAGGTCTCACTCACAGCCTCTTGTTATTAGCCAGCTAATAAATACAACCACATACACAAAGAAAAGCTGCAATTTCAACATGTCCAAGCATCCTGTATCATAGCCATGCTAATAATATTTATAATAAACCAAACCGTTTGTAAATCAGTCAAGATTTCAGCGATTTAAGAGTATTTTTGTGCAGATCACTCACCTTACAACAGCTACCATACGCTAATCAGAGTAACTGTTGACTGTAGCAAGATGGCGGCCGGTCAGCTACGCTGGAAAATCTCCCATGAGCCATCTAGTGTTTATATATCTATGCCTGTCACAGTCACTACCGTTCTTATTATACATCCATGGTCACTACCCGATCTGCAGCTCTGCCCGATCAGCAGTGCGCATGTGCGAGATGGTCCGCGAGATTGGACAACTCCGGACGGCATCCCAAGTAGGACAACATTGACACAGTGGCTTTTGGCAAAGCTCAAACGGAAAACTCGAGAGAGATGAGTTATTGTTATTACAACGTGACTTCACTATTATTCAACAACTCTTTTATTGGGTTCTTTTATTTGGGTTTAAGTAAATTGTCAGAATAAATGAAAAATGGATTTAACTACTGTTAGACAGCTATATGACATACATTTTTGCATACATTCACAGTAAATATGTATTCAGTATGATAGCTGTTTAACAGAAGTTAAATTATTTTCTCACTTATTCTGACAATGTACTTAACCGCAAATAAAAGAACCCAATAAAAAGAGTTGTTAAATAATACTGAAGTCACGTTGTAATAACAATAACTCATCCCTCTCGAGTTTTCTTTTAGAGCTTTGCCAAAAGCTACTGTGTCAAGTGTCCTTATTGGGTTGCCGTACGGAGTTGTCCAATATGGCGGACCATCTCGCACATGCGCACTGCAGATCGGGCAGAGCTGCAGATCGGGTAGTGACAACCCCATAGACTGTATATATAAAGGTTTACCCAGAGCCATATAATAGAAGAGTTACGACAACGGAAGTCCAAAAACGGTTATCGTCACGTGGTTCATGTAGACGAGGATCGTTCCCCGGAAGTTCATGGCGGGCAATGTGAATGCATTGATAACAGGAGATAGAACTACTACGATTTTTGGTAATTATTAGTGAATAAAGGTTTTGATTTGCAATATTTATACAACAAATCGATATGTGTATGTATTTACATCAATATGTTTTTAAAAATAAAATATAATTTGCTAATATTAAGTGATAATATTAGGATTAGTGTGAACAACTAGTTTACATGTTAGGCTAACAGTGCCTTGGTTAAAGAGCCTGTTGCTGTTTATTTATAGCTTTGAATTCTTTAAAACCAATATTATCTTCTTAAACTTGTATGGTAGTCAGGAGCATCACTTTCTAATGTTTGATATATTTAGAGGGAGGGGATCTAAAGTAATGCTTTAAAATTCAGATTAGATTCATTTCTGCCATTTTCTTAAATTCATGGTAGTTTCAGTAATCCCATGGTAATTGAGGACACAAGTTATCTAAATGACTGTCATCTTTATGGCTTTCAGAAAGGACAGGAGACCGACAGGTGACTATCAAAGGACTAGCAGCAGCAGCATGATGATGATGATGTTAAATGTGTTGTTTTAGGAACATCCATTGCAAATACATGGAATTCAATAAACATTGAATAGCATATCATGCAGTTTGTCTGTGCCTTTTCCTCCGTGTTGTCCTGGTTTGCTGTGCTGCCTCCTAGTCGCCACCATGGTTTGCTGTGCTGCCTGGGGATGCTCAAATCGCTCCGAGAAAGGAGTACGAATGTACGGCTTCCCCACTGACACAGAGCGGAGTAAAAAATGGCTGGCTCAAGTCAGCAGGAGCAATTTCACGACCAACAGCAAACAAATATGTGAAGTAATTATATACAAACACTGCATTTGCACTTTTTCACAAAACGAAAACCACACCATTGGGAAAGCTTAATGTTTTGTTTAATACAAAAAAACAGGGAAAGGCTTGAAAAACACAGAGTTGAGACTCAGGGTGCAGGGTGAGGGTCTCAGTGCAGGTATTCAGGCTCCATTGAATCCCCCTCTGGTTCTTGTGCTGAAAGAGGGATAAACAGACAGGAGAAAGGGTTATACACACCTATATAGCACACCTATTTGATGGGAAATTGCCTTGGTGTAGGTGTGGTCTTTGTTCCCAACTGAAGTTATGGAACTTTATTATTTGTGAGTTTAACAAAGTATGACAAATGGCATCAGTAACAGATGTGATATGAATTTCTATAAAGTTGTCTCACATTCTTGGTCATATTTTATATACAGTATGTAATGAGTATAACATGTCCAGTAAGTATAAAGTGTTTCCTAATACTGTGTATTCAACCACTATGGAATATGTATGTGGGCAGACAAGATTCAGACACAGTTGTTCTGTGTGTGAAGTAACCTCAAGTCACTCCGCAGCCACATTTTGATGCAGACCAGTTTGTGAAGACAAAAAAGGGCAAGACTAGGCTGAGAGCAGAGGCTATATCCACCATCTTCGTGCATCGCCCTGTGGTCAAAAAGAGAAGGGCCCCTGCACCACGATTCACCCCGGGACCTGTATCTACAAAGCCCATAGCTCATGATCACAGCTATAGTGTGAAAGGTGACACAGGTATAATAAGTATGAACTCTTAGTAACAAAAGTAATATTTGTTATTTTTAAGTGGTATAATATTTAAAATGTTCGAAAATTTACAATGCCATGTCTTCTACATACATTAGTCTCAAAGATTGAGGGAAGAAGGGATGAGGAGACTGAGAGAAAGGAAAGTGAGGGTGAAGAAAGAGAGGACATGGCTAGTGAGGAGAGACAGGGAGGGCGGACACCACCCACTCAGCCAGCAGCCAGACAGCATACGAAGGAACCAGCAGCCAGTCAGCATACGAGGGAACCAGCAGCCAGTCAGCATACGAGGGAACCAGCAGCCAGTCAAACAGATCTATTACAACAATTAAAGAGAAAATTAAAGAGCCAAGAAGGAATCACCAAAAAAGCAAAGGCTGCACTAAGAAAAATCAGGAAGGAAAATGCAGCTCTCAAGAAAACAATGAAAATTAGGGACAAGAAATATAAGAAAACGTTTTCAAAAGACCAACTGAAGGCATTAGGCAGACTCACCACAAAGGGGATGAAATGGAGCAATGAGACAATTAAGAAGGCTTTAAAGATTCGCTTTGCGAGCGGACCAACGGGTTACAAAACTCTGCAGGAATTGAAGATTCCCCTTCCAGGAATAAGGACACTGCAAAGAAGGATGCAATGTGTTAGGTTTGAGCCTGGTGTGTTGACAGAGGTCTTTGATTTCCTAAAATTGAAGGCAGATAGATTGACAGACCTTGAAAGGGAGTGTGTGTTGACCTTGGATGAAATGGCAATCACACCAAGTGTGGAGTTAGACATGATTACAGGCAAACTGTACGGTGATGTGACTTTACCAGGTCACACGGGTGGCAACACATGCTTGTGTGTTTATGTTGGCTGGAAACACAACACGGTGGAAGCAAGTAGTGGCATATCATTACACTGGCAATTCTACCAATGGAGCAGAGTACAGGCCAATCATTATTGATATAATACAGTGGGCAGCATCCATAGGGCTACATGTGCTTGATGTCACCACCGACATGGGTAGCCCTAACCGAGCCATGTGGAAATCCTTTGGGGTCGACCAAAATAAAACATCGGTGCCACATCCAGCAAAACCAGACAGGCAGCTCTATTTCATGCCCGATGTCCCACATCTGGTAAAAAATTAAAAAAGTGCCCTTGTCCGTGGGCAGGTCTTCATAATTCCTGAGGATGTTGTTAACAGAGAGAACCTCCCCTCTAACGAGGTTTCAGTGGTCCCCATTAAGGACTTATTGACCTTTCAGGAAGGGGTGCTTTAAAAATAGCTCCCCATCTTTCAGCTGCAGCCATCGAGCCAAGTCACTTTTGGCGCATTTCCACTGCAGCGGGTAGCCCCGTTTAAGCGTCCTTAACCGTCCTCAAGCGGCCAGGCCAGTTTTTGGTGGCCTTTCCATATAGCCTAGTAACGGCTAGCGGCTACTTTTTCCCTCTTTTTCCGGCCCCATAAAATCGTGGTTCTATCAGACCAGGGCCAGGGCTGAACTAGTGATGTCAACACTCTCGACTGCTGATTGGTCAGAGAGAATCGTCACAAGATCGTGCGCGAGTTCATCCCTAGCGTCGCATATATATTTAGAAGCAAGCTTGCAGCATTTTTATAAACAGCATTTTGTAAACGGAGGAGCTACAATAATGGCTACGTCTAATAAGAAAAGCACACCGTGGTCGACCGAGGAGGTGACGACGTTCCTTCATCTCATTGGGGATGATCAAATCCAGCGGGAGCTCGACGGAACAACTCGAAATGTGAAGCCGATCGCCCCGCCTACACTGCGTTGCTACCCCAGGTCCTAAACTGTAACGGAAATGCGCCACGGCCTCGGACGGCCAGCGAGGCAGCCCGAGGCCTGAGCGAGGACGCTTAGGGACGCTTAAACGGGGCTACCCCGTTGCAGTGGAAATGCGCCATTTGTTAAGATGAAGGTTGGTCTTGCTCTAAATGTGTTCAGTAAGGCTACAAGTGCTGGGCTGAAATACATGGTGCAGCAAGAAAACCGCCCTCTGTCATACCTGACGACAGCGTGGTTCCTGGAGCAGGTTGATCGTTGGTTTGATCTGATGTCATCTCGCCATCCAATTACAGCCCTGAGCAGGCTCAAGATGGAGGAGTACCAAAAGGCCATCACCTTCCTCCAGAACATCGTCCATCTGTTTCGTGGGATAAAGATAGGTCAAAAGGGAGGTTGGAAGCCTGTTCAAACAGGGGTGATAATGGCAACAACATCAATTTTGGCCATACAAGAGGAGATGCTTACACAAGGACACAGGTTTGTGTTAACGTCAAGGTTCACACAAGACTGCCTTGAAAATACATTCAGCTGTGTGAGGTCTAAAAATCCTGTCCCAACTCCAGTGGAATTCCATCATGCACTGAGAATCATATCTGTGGGGCAGTTCCTCACCACCATCAGCTCTGGGAGCTACCAGGAAGACCACAGTAGCTTTTTGGCAGACTTCCTGGACACAGGGGAGCCAAAAATCACTCCATCAGTCAGAGTGGAACAGCTGATGGCGGTGAACAGAGCAGCAGCACCTGACCTCACAAAAACTGAGAAATGTATTCTCTTCCATCTTGCAGGCTACATCGTCCACAAAATCATCAAGTTTGCCAGCATCTGTGAAAAATGCAAAATTACAACAGAGCACCATGATGAGAGTCCTTCTGGTGACAACAGCTTGTTAGTGGACTTGAAAGACTTCAAGGCAGGTGCTCTTTGTCGTCCCTCCCAAGAAGCCTTTGACTTCATT